TTCTCATTTGCCTTGATTTTTATTCAGAGAGCTCAGAAACCAAGGCACAGTTTTATAGCGGGGACAGTGATGAAGAAAATGGTCCTGGAGTAACTCAAGGTAATGGAAGATGGGGAATTTACAAAGAAAGAGACCCAAATCAGCGTAGCTTTTAATTTCCAAAGCATTATTGGTAATTAAAACTTTTTTCTTGCTGCTTTTCCTGTCTACTACTGATGTTTTGATGTGAACCAAAAATTTCTCTTTAACTCTTGTGGTGGAAGAATGTCATACAATCTCGTATACAAGTGTTAGTCTTCTCTTCTGCGTAAGAAGTTGAAAATAAATGTTTGCTGGTAGTATCGCACTCTTCACAGGACCCAATCACATGAATCCAACAATTTGACAACTGCTTCTCCCAGAAATTGCAACTTTAACAGCTGTAAGCTGTTGCTTCACTCCTGAGATAAATGATGAGAATTAAGAGAGAGGGAAAACAGGCTCTGAATAAGAACACTGGCATACAATTTGAGTTATCAGGGAATTTTAATCCGAGTGATCCGAAGAAAATACAGTTTACCAGATGTGGCATTTATTTAATTTGAAAAAGCTGAGGGAGAGCAAGTGTTTGGAGAAGAATTACATTTTCCTAGAGCTGATCAAAAAAGCCCTCTTAGGTATTGCCTGATCTCCAAGAGATCAAGTGCCAAAGGCACAAGCAGTTTTGGACCTCAGCTGCCCATATCCCAGACTCTCTGCTGTGCTATGTCTTCAATTTTATTTTCTATTGTTTTTCTTACATTAAAGCTTTATATTATTTAAAATTAAACTAAAAGTTTTTCTTTTCCTTACTTGCTTTGAAATGCTTATCAAGAAGATAATTGTTCCAAATAAGATCTCTTCTTCTTATTCAGATTGCATAACAAATACTAGGTAAAAAGTGAAACAGCAGTGCTTTGATTAGCTTTTAATTTTATATATACATTATTTGCATGTCCATGTGTGTATATACAACCCATGAACCAGTGAAAACTAATATACTGTGAGGTATGGGTTTCAGTTAAGGACAGACCACAGAGCTAGCTGTCCCTGAGGAATCAGAGAGCTCACTACTCACAGAACTGAGTTTGATGGATGGACTATTCAATGCATAAGGAATTGGCTGGATTGCCACAACCACAGAGTTGCAGTCAATGGCTCAATGTCCAAATGGAGATCAGTAATGACTGGTGTCCCTCAGGGGTCCATACTGGAGCTGGTACCATTCAATACCCTTATTAGTGACACAGGTAGTGGGATTTAGTGCACTCTCAGCAAGTTTGTGGATGACACCAAGCCGAGTGGTGCAGTTGATATGCTTGAGGGAATGGGTGCCATCCAGAGGGACCTTGAGAGGTTTGAGAAATGGGCCATTATGAACTTCAACTCAACAAGGCCAAGTGCAAGGTCCTGCACCTGGCTTAGGGCAATCACCAGGATCAGTACAGACTGGGGGATGAATGGATTGAGAGTAGCCCTGTGGAGAAGGACTTGGGGATACTGGTAGGTGACAAATTGGACATGAGACAGCAGTGTGCACTTGCAGCCCAGAAAGCAAATCACATCCTGGGCTGCATCAAGAGATGTGTGGCCTGTTGGTCAAGGGAGGCAATTCTGCCCCTCTGCTCTGCTCTTATGAGACCCCACCTGGAGCACTGTGTTCAGCTCTGGAGTACAGGAAAGACACAGACCTTTTGGAGCGGGATCAGAGGAGGGCCTTAAAAATGGTCAGAAGGCTGGAACACCTCTCCTATGAGGAAAGGCTGGGAGAGCTGGGGTTATTCAGCCTGGAGAAGAGAAGCAGAGTTGCAGATATTTTTCTGCAAAGGTGGCCAAAGTTTGTAGCCACGTGTCCATAGGGAAACGGCCAAGGGTGGCTACTTAGCTAGACCATTTCAGAGAAATTTAACCGAAAGTGATTAAAGTAATGAAAAGACAAGGAAGCAGGTACTACAGGCAGATTAAAAAAAAAGCAATTTGCCACTGTGTAATTATGAAATGCAATGGGGAATCTTACTCTGAAATAAACCCTGTCATTAACTGTCTACATCTCCAGATCTTCTTCCACCTTCTGTCCTTCCTCCATGTTGATTTTCACTTTCTACTTGTTACAGCAATGTATAGCAATTATTGGAGCTATATCATTGTTGTCTGGAACACCTTAAAGTCCCCAGGAGATTCTTGGTTTATTGTTGTTCATTATTATCATGATAATGTCAGTATTACAGGCCCTTGTCACTGGATCATCAGCTGCTAGTGGAAGATCTCTCCCTGTTATAGTTAACACCTGTACTGTTCCAGAGGTTTCTCCACTGTCTGGAAATGCCCTGGAAGACGGTTATGATGATGTGACAGAAGCTCCTGGACCTAAAGATGCTTCTCTTTCTGGGCAGAATGAACAGGAAATCATTGGGATTCCTGAAGAAAGTGACAGAAACAAGGATTCATGGACAGGTGAGGCCAGAAGAGCAGTGCTGTTAGTTTTCATAATCTATAGTTAAGTGTACTGAACTCAGGGAAAATCAAGGTGGAGGTACTTCAGGGGATCACCTAGGTTTTATCTAACCACTGTCAGGAAGGAACACTACCTAATTACATGAAGAGTGTAGGTTAGATGTTTGTTATTCTGTCCTTACAGCCATTCAGTAGCAGTGTTTCCACAGCCTGTGCAGGTAATCTGTGTTTTCCTTACAGATATAAAATTCTTACCTGTGGCCTAACCTAAGTCTTCACTGCTGCAAATTAAAATTGTTACTTCTTATTACAATGACCGTGGGGATAGAGGAATTGCATTCCTGTTTGTAACAGCCTTTTAAGTACTTGAACACTGTTAACATACCACCCATCAGTTCTATTTTGTATTTTGTTTCTCTAGACTGCTGCAACTTAAATTAGTCCATTTTCTGCTTAGGTCTTGTTGACTGGACCTCTGCTCATTCTGTATGTCTCCAGTCAGGCTGTGTCAGTAAGTCCGTATCTTTCAAAAAGTGTTTCAAAACCAAAATTCTACAGTATTTCTGTAGAGCATGGTACTAAGACATTACTAGTGTCAGGTAGAGCAGAAAGACCACTTCATATGTCTCACAGGATATCCTTCTGTTTATGCATGCTAGTGTGATAGCGTTTTTTTGCAACAGCATGATGCCTCCGACAGTGTTCAATGTCTGGCCCGATGCAACTTCAAATCCTGCTCTGTAAAATTCCACTTAACATTAGACGCCGATCTTTCTAACTATGCTGTTGACTGTTTCTCCCTTCATCTGTATTCTTGTAAGTGTCCTTATTAGATTTCACTCTATGTTCATGACAACGTTGCCAGGATCATTTGAATTGCCGTACAGTATAGTATCATCTGGAAAGCATAACAAGAACGTGTGTCTTTTATCTTAGGATTTAATAAAATACTTAGCTGTATTTA